TATGTCATTAGCACCTCTAGTAATATATTTACTGAGAAAAAGTTGACGTGTTCAATACTTATTTTACCTGCTGTAAGTTGTCGAAGAAACAGTCTACAGGCCTTTCATTAACGATTATTTATTACGTTTAAAAGCTTCAGTCACTAATGAGCTGATAGTGTTGCTTTGTTGTTTTTAATCTTAATTTAAAAATTACCTTTTGAATCATATGTATTTCACTTAATCTACTTATTAAAAAATACCTGTTAAAAATCCATAATGTATGTTTGAATGACAGCTCAGCCTGCAGCTCAGGTGTCCAGCAGCTAATAAACGTCTTCCCTGTGAACAAAACCAATAATATTACAGAGAAATAATCATTAGTCAATGAAAGTAAAGGTTTAAAATAGATATGTATCTTACCCAAACCATCCTGCTAAACATCTGAAGGACTCCAACAAACATCTCAGCTTCCTGTTGGTCCTTTAGCAGGTCCTGATGTTTGTAGGAAAGTTTATTGTAGCAACATTTTCCTGTTAGGAATATTTAAGTTTGAGGGCCGAATGCTATAATCGTGGGTAATATGAAAATATAAAAGGAAAAATATTTAATTTGTGTATTTGAAAAGGATAGCATTAAAGTACCCTTGAAAACAAATGTAACACACGCATAGGAATACTGCAGCCAAATACGTCCGCTGGAACTCTTCCGGTGTTTACAGTTCCGCATACAAAATGATCTCTCCTTGTTTATGTGTGGGCGTAATAAAAATAAATAAATTACACTTAGATAAAATTATTAAAACTACTAAGAGGTTTATTACTCAAAACGTGATTTATGTAATAAATAAAGGGTCAGATGAAACATTTTGGTGACTTAAATCTAACGGAGTTGAAACCACGACGCAACGTGATGACGTACTTCCTCTTCATATCGGCTAAGGGGGAAACAACATCAGATAACCCCGGCCTGAAGCTAAAAACATCAGTACTCCGTGTTCTTATCAACTTTTACAACCAGAAACACATTTCTTCTTTAAGTGTAACTTCTTGAACACACAATGGTAAGAAAACAACTTGTTTAAATAAAGTTGTTTAGCTTCGATGGTTAGTTTAGCTCGTGGTGTTAGCGTTAGCTGCTGTGCGCATGTGGCGAAGCGACGCGATGATCTGTTTGTTTTTCTGTCCTAGTTGATCGGTTTAATGTAACCGAGGACTACAAACTCTGGTGTGGTTACACTCACGTGTGTAGTCTTATTGAATATCTGTACTCTGAATTATAAGTAAAATCATTACAATGAGACAAAGATTGATCGAGTCCGATTTAAACTTGGATATTGCACAGTACTAAATACAAATACTTTGTTACTGTAATTAAGTAGAAGTTTTGGTTATTCTGTACTTTACTTTAGTTACTATTTTTCAGCGTACTTTTTACTTTTACTCATTACATTTTTACACAATTATCTGTACTTTCTACTCACTACATTTTTTAAAAAGGTAAGAAGTAGAAAGTCGTTACTCCTATTTTATTCTGAGTTGTTATTACTTAGTATACTAAGTATAAATAT